ACTTTTCTTTTTCTTTTACTATTGGCTTCTTTTCTCGTTGTTTTCCCGAGGTTTTGAGAATGACTTTTTATCTATTTTTTTTTCCAAAATGAAAATATATAATACCAATTTTTTTTTTTTAAATTCCTTCTTTTCTCAATAATGAATTCGAATTGATCTCTTTTTTTTTTTTTTTGCTTTCGTAAAAAGAAAACTAAAATTTTGTATCAATCTTACTATTATTATTCAATATTATTTACATTGACAATTCGTTCGTTTGAATAAAACGTGATGTATTCCAAGAAAACTTTACAACTCGGGATCTCTGTCTGAAACTGATTCTTTCCTAATTTGAAACTTGGTTCGATTTATTCTTCATCGATCTAGTTCAATTCTATCGAACTTTATTTTTAAAAAAAATTATATATAATATATATATTATATATATTTATATTTATAATATGTATTTTATATATATTTTTTTTTAAAAATATAGATATGTATAAATATTATAAATATATATATATATACATATTGTATTAATTTTCGTATATTATCGAATAAGTATCTTTCGAAAACAAAAGAAAAAAATTCATTCTCATTGATTCAAATTTTTTTAGAATCGGGGAAAAAAGGTATAAGAAAAAGACAAAAAATGGAATTAAAGAAATTTTCCGCAAAGAATTTTCCATTGATACACGAAGAAGAAAAAAAGAAATGGAACGATAGAAGCGACGATCGTGCAGCTCTTGTCTGAACCAAGTTCCTTATTCTAGTCTCGAAGATCGACATATCTCGAATAGTATAACATGGACTGAGAAATTTTAGACGTGCATCCACCACGTGTCCTAGTTAACAAGATAACATTAAGGGAGATCGCCTGGAGACGATCGATATTTAAAATCTCTCGTTCGTCTAAATTCTTTCTTTCTCTCACACTCTCTCCCTCTCTCTCGTTCCTTCCCAATCAAATTATCGCAAACAAAATCGCACGCATTCCCACAGAGCACCACCATCCTCTGTACATCAGTATCGCTTTTATTCATATAACTTTTCCCCCTTCTTTTTTTTTTTTTTTTTTTT